ATAAATATTGCTATAAAGGGGTATATTGCAAACTGATATGGAATTATTCATGACCGGGACCCTAATCAACAATCATATCTTATTTTTAAAAAAATTTAGTATTATAATCTGTCAATTGTAATTAAAGGATCACAACAGTATTTTGCGCGAACCACGAAATCTCATTTTTAAAATGGAAAGTTCGCAATGAAATCTTTCTCCGAGTCACCATCTTTTGGCGTAATTTTTTTTTTTAAAAAAAAAATTGGGGTGATTAACAAATTACATCATTTGATTTACAACAAATTTCCAAATCAATATTTTCAAAAAGGAGGAATCAATAGTTGTGTTCCGATCCACAATCTTTTTAATCAATTATTATCATGAATTCGGGAGGTCATAAGATTACACAAAAATGGGATGTTTTTTCATATAAATATGTCTCATCCTGAACGCAAATACAATTAGAAAATTCAATACCATAATATTATATGTACAAAACGCCAATAAACACTCTTCAAATCTCTTGTTAAATCATTAAAATGAAAAATTTTAAATCATTAAAATTTAAACAAATTAAAGAAATTAATCGAATTAATGTAAAAATGGCGTGTCAGAATCGTCGAGAATAAATGCCGTAATCGCACTCTCCGACGCCAAGGTCGGATCCGCCAGCTAAGCGTGGAAGAAAAGTAAGTTATAAATTTTTTTTTAAGTTCTTTACCGTTCGTGAAAAAAATTATCTTTATTTATGGATTAAATTTTATTTAATAGAGGCGTTTATTGAAATAATTTCTTGGTATACATATTTCTTTCTTTTTATTATTATTAATAATATAGTAAACAATTTTACATTTCTTCATATTGGAATTTAAATCTATTTTTTATTTAAAAATTTTTTATTATTATTATAAATTTGAAATTTTATTAAATGTATTTATAAGTAAACGATGTTACATTGTTTTATCTTCATGCATACCATTCGAGTTTAGAAGAATTGTTAATGCTAACGCAATAAATCAAATTTAATTTATAATATATACAAATTATAATATAGAAAGAACTATAACGCTAACACTAACCCTAACCCTAACATGTATTCTGTTGAACTTGATAAAACAAACGGAAAATATTTTCATAATAGCCGCAGCTCAATTGTATCTCTTATAAAAATAAAAGCTTCATATTGTAATTATTCGTATTTTTTTTTATTTTCATGAAATTATGAGTCGTTATGAATCATGAAATGTGCAAAATATTTATCAAAATACTCAGATAATTCATAATAGACCAATTCATTGCTTTCTATACCTTTTTTTCATTGTGAGGAGTTAGAAAACATTCCAATCATTACTTTCGTTTCAGATACTTTAAATGTATGCAGGTGTTTGTAGTTACGGTTCTAACTTGGCTGGGTAGAAATATGTATGTAATTAAAGCTCGTATTTCTAATCAACTTCATTTATTCAAGGTTTATCTATATTTAATTTCTTAGAAATATATTTGTGTTTTAATTTTTATAAATTTTGCTAATCTAATAACTTATCTATTCATTATGGCCAATACTTTATAAAAAATTTTTTTGAACATTAGTTAGTACCGTATATATAATTTCATAATAATCTAAAAATACACATATTAGTGAAAATATTAAAAAAGTATAAAGAAATATAAAAAAATAAATTATACATACTTATACTGACTTTAGTTAACAAATAACGAAGTTAAAATAATGCTAAGAATAGTTTCAAGCCAGTATTAAACATTCTTTACTAGCCTCCATAAGGAGGAAAGGAAAAGCCAGAATACTTTTAAAAAATTCGTAAAAAAAAAAAAATTCGACTTGGTTAAATCACTTTCCAAATAATTTTTATCCGAACCTCCGACGCTACTTTCTTATGAATTTAATGTCAAAGGCATTGACCGATGCATAGTATTAAGTTGGTATTAAAATATCTTTATTAACTTCCAAAATGAAGAAGGAAAAGTTGGAAGGTTTTAAGAATTTTGTTAAAAAAAAAAAAAAAAAAATCGGATTATCTGCGGATTATCCGAAACAAACCGCCATCCAATCCGACGGATAATCGGTTTTCGGATTATAACTCTAAGTTGAAGTAATCTCATTAATATTGCAACACGAATCTAACTCCACTCACATATCTAATACGAAAAATAAAATTCTTTTTTTTTTTAAAAAAAAAAAAAAAAAACTTTAAAAAGTTCACTATACCTTCAATTTAGCCATGATTACTTTTGATATTTTGTAAGAAAGCTCGCACATTGTCATATTTTGCCTCCTGCTCGTCTAGCTTTTTATTAATATCTGATAAGGTGTTAAACCATGTGGCATCATTAAACATTGGCAAAGAAATGATATTCAATCCACCCTGAATCATTCTTGAAATAAATATTATTTTCACCTTCTAAAACATTAAGTAATAAAGATTGTTATTGCTCTTTTACAAATGCAACAATACAAGTGCCACCAGGTGTACTAAAATATCGGTGGATTAAGGTGGAAAGGAAATTGAGTAACATCTTTTTGAAGGAGACCGTTATAAAGGTTATAAATCCTTGCACGGACGCATTTCTCAACAAAATATATTTCGATAAATATAAAATGATGAATATGTGGAAGAGAATTATACCATCCAAAGATTCGTTAGTGTACGAATGTTTATTTGTTCTTCATAATGAAATACAGTACGTTAGTCTATAATTAAAAAATTAATATACCTTCTAAACTTTTTTTTAGTAAGTAAATAATTTATATACTTCCCAATTAATCTTTTCGATTACGGCAATGAGACAGAATTTACTTGCATTGTGTAAACTGTGCTGGTTGCATAATGACAATTCATAATCTATTGTGATTTTCTCACCTAAAAATGAATTCTGAAAATTTATTAAAATTGATTTAAATGTTAGTATACAGTTAAACATGCATTAATTCAAAATATTATATAAATTACCAGTTGTACTTATATGGTAAAATTATGAAAAAAGATCAAAAAAGTAAAAGTAAATATAAAAATAAAAATAAAAATAAAAATGTAACAAGTAATAATGACTTACCCACCTGGAAATCTTTCCTCAATTAGTTCGCTTTTTAAATTTTTCCTTAAGAAATCTTCCTTATCTTATGGTTTTCCTATCCAGCTTATTTATATTATTTATATTATCTGGAAATTTATTTATCACGGTATAGTTTATAAATGAATTAATTATTGCTGAATGCGATAAATCAATAGACATTGCTTGAATATAAAATCCGTTAATTCGAATATCCGATTTAAAAGTAAAATTATGCCTCATATGTAAATTTTTTCTCAGATTCTTAAATTAATCTTTGTAAATATGATTAAATGGTGCGAAACATTTAAAATTTTATAATGCTCGCGAAATAACATCTCCACTACTTTATTGTTTAATTCATTATTCCTTGTTGTGCTTGAACTTCCTTTATAAATAATTTTCCATAAATAAATCCTCGTTTTCTTTGCATTCATTCATCCATATTACGCATTTAAATTAGGATTGACACGAAATCGCTTCGACTTTTAAAAGAGAAATAATTTTTTTAAAAAAAAAGAAAACTTGATAGAAAAAGATAAATTTACCTTTTGGTTGCAATGAAATTTCATTGTAAGATTGAAATTTGATTTCTGATTCAATAGCCTCTAGTAAAGAAATATAATATAATACACTATAT